CCCTGACATTTGTTGTTACAAATCAAGAGGAAGAAATGTCACAATTAACTAGTGCAAGTTTCTAATGACGTCAGAACATTTTATGTTGGCTTCTGCTCAAGAAAACATTTCAAAGATTGCCATTATATTGATTATTATTGTTAAAACCCATGCAGTTATTAATATATTTTTATTATCTTAAACATTAAAGATTGGTTTTAAAGACATAATTTAAGTTATTAAGCGACCGCGACGTTCTGAAAGAATTGTCCTCGAATATATTTAGTCAAAGTTCTGAGATAAATATACTAATTGCACAGAACATTGTGCTTTTCTGTTGGTTATTTCATTATTTAGCGCCTACTGTCGTTCATAGCAGGCGCTGTTTATTTCCTCAACATAATGATGATGGCTTGTTTAAACTCTTGTTTCAGATATGTTTATGTCGAGTAATGTCTTCCAACGACTCTTTTTAAGTCGTTGGAAGACATAATTGGTGGATCTCTGGTAGCCAAGGAATCACAGAAAAATACCTGACTAGTTTTGTAAAACAAGTTTATTTTTAAAAATGTGCACCAACTTATTGATGCTGTCAATTTGAGCTGACTGTTCATAGCAACAGGTGGAGGAGGGGCATTAATTCACACTCCAAATGATCACAGTAAACCTGGTACAATATTTTGTAATACATTACTAGAAGTTTAAACGGCATGAATGGAATGGGGAGAACTTTTGATTGTTTTAAAACTTGGGACTTTTTAAACCCAGACACATGCACGAGTGCTTTGTTCAGAAACACCAAATGATTTCTGCCTCATTATACCAACACCTTTAAGTTAAGGAGCAGCCAGATGAGACTGTCCTGATCTGGCTAAATTAACTTAAATTGATTTATTTAAGTTAATGGAAATGTAAACTACATACATTAGTGACAGGTCTTAAATGTTGTCTTAGCGTGACTATTTAATCTCGTTTAGTCTACGTAGTTTTTCTGTTAAGCTAAACTTTGAGTCGCGTGCGGAAAACCTCATTGCATTCTATGACTGGAATCAGTTGCAGCTACCGCTAACTAGCTGCTAATATAGCTTTGCTAGCTAGCTAGCTTTTTTACATCCATCATGGATAAGTGCAAATTTATTGGCAGGTGGTTTGACGATATTCATCGTAGCCATTGGTCTACTTTTTTTCTGATACAGATGCGACTTATTTGCCATTTTCTTTTGTACATTTAGGCCTTAAAAATTCCACTCAGAACCGTCTTTAAAAAGTCATAAATTAGAGTTGGTGAGGACGTCCTCCTGGTCATTACTTCATTAGTGGCCCCGGCCCTTCTGAGCAAACCATTTGTCACCCTGCTGCGTCTAACCCTGTGAAGAAAGTGTGAAAAGTAGGGCAGCACAGCATCAGATTTATGTGGATGTTTCCATCAGCGGGAGGCTACTTCATTTAAGCCAAGCCAGTCATCCAGGGAGCAAATTCTCATCAGTGGCTTTCACTCCTTAGCATCCAGCAGCGGCAATAGAAAGGCGCTCATTCAGTTGAAATACGGTTCCATCAAACCTCTCAGCGGGAAGCCGGCTGATGTCATACTCGCTAGTGAGTTGTGGCTCATGAATGAAGACGTGGGTTGTGATCCTGTTACGTTGATTAGGCCTCATCTTGCCAAAGTCAGGCTTGTTTTTTTTTGTTTCTCAAAGTATGCGGCCCTTGCCCTCAGCTGTGCAGCACAAACTCGGAGAGATGGCTTCTGCTCTGGTCCGCAGTGTAAGTACACTGACCGACACAAACATGATGCACCCATCTCCGTGTCTTAAATTCGTAGTTGAGCTTCCCCGAGGAAGATGCGTGGACCGCTGTTGTTCATGTTTTTACAAAGATGTAGAGGTTGCCTCAGGGTAAAGTTTAGATCCAGTGCTTCAGGAACAGCTTGTTTCCTCTCCTGCTGAGTTGCACAGGCAGTTTGTTGTGTTCATTTGTAAACCAAAAAGACTTGGCAGCATAAGAGACCAACATACCAGCCTAGTTCACACTTCCTTTGAAAGGATAAAGATAGGCTTCTCTTTCTTTCGTATGGCAAACAGGTTGGATGATAGGGCAGCGTTTGGTATGTGTGCGTGGTTTAGATAATCTCCACAGACCACACACTGGACAGAGCAGGATTGTTATTGGACACAGGGCTCCTCGGACTGTTCGCACGTCAATCCATATGTATCGAGCTCGGTCAGAGACGGAGCTGAGGTGGGACATGACAAAGTGGCTTTTTTTCCCCTCCGCACAAAAAGAGTTCTGTGTCCAAGGAGGACAGATGGGAGGGTGGAACGAGGACAGACGCTGAAAGGCCCCCCACGCCCACCAGCAGCCTTGAAGATATGAACATTGGCCACTCTGTGCAGCCAACACGCATAAAGAAATTACAGCTGAATCTGCGTGGTGCAACTTAAGGAGTTTGACATCAGTTCTTAGCTGGGATGAGATTTTTGCAGTGTGATAACGTCGAGAAAAACTTAATCTAGTCGCTTCTATTTTAAACCTGAAAAGCAACAGCTGTTTCCTTCTGCTTTGAGAACTTTTTTTTTTTATATCTTGATACCAGTAACTGACCCATGCCTGCATGAAAAAACAGTTACAAGCATTTATCAAATCCAGGAATGATGACAACTTGTGCTGCCATTTGAGAAGTACATCACCAGGAAAATCTGTTTGCGTTCATATCTGTTAGAGATTATGGAAAAGCTTGACATGGGACATTTTACTGAAGTTCTTCAAAACATTTCATGGGATCTGAATTCACAGTTTAATGTCAAAAAAAGCTTTTGTTTGTGTAAAATGCAGATATTCTTAGCATAATTTGGCAAGTAATTGGAATCTGCATGGATAACTGGATCAAACTTCAGTCCAGATGTGCGAAGAAACAGCTTTCTGTTTCAGTCTGAGGATTTATTCAGTCTGTGTCAGCACACATCTAGTTATAATTCATCCACTTCGGGGTTAAGCCTCCGCTTATTTCCTCATGACAGTCATGTGTTCGTTAACGTCAGAATGTGGTGATCCATTGCTGAAATGTGGAGCTCGCCGTATGCGACCAGTCCATGTCGATGTTGCAATGCTAAGCAGGATTGTGGGCCTAACTCCTCTTAACTCAGCTGAGATCTGTTTATTTGCTTGAATAACGGCGTTATATTTGCCGGGGATCAGCGCAGCTTCGTACCACCCACAGTGCTCGTTGCACAATACTTTGCTGTAGTTTTTAACAGCTTGCACTTCCTGTCATAACACCAGCCTTGAGCCCGTGTTCACATCTTTAGATGCCTCACCAAGCCGCCGTTGCCGTTCCACTATGCCAGAAGTTAATTTCCCACCACTCCTCTGCAAAATAAAAAGCACATTTTAGAAACCCCCAGAAAGTCAAACTTTACTTCTTCTCTGCAGTTTCCTAGTCTTCAAGCCACAGTCCCCTTTTGGTTTCCTGTCATTATTAAACTTGCTTGCATGCATCTTAGCGTCGCTCTTTACTTCCTCAAAATGAGCAACCGAGAAGCTTTGGCTCTCTTCTGGTCACTGAACTTTTGACTCAGTGACAAAGTGAGTGCACTGTACAGTCCTTGTGGGGAGAAACGCTAATTAACTGTAAAAGGAGGGAAGGCTGCGTCTGGGACAGAGATTTTCTGAGCCCCGTGGCTTTTGCGTCGCGTTAATGACTGACCTACATTACATGCTTCTTTGAAACGTGTTTCATAGACGCAATCCGAATAATATCATCTGCGTTTTACAGCATAAACAAATGGGATTACACACTGGCTCGTAAAAAGGAGCAGATGTGCCAAGTAACAGCATTACAGACACACCCAGATGGTCTCACAGTGTCAGCAGTGCAGTAGTGTGCAAATGTTATTTGGAGGTTCACATTCAAGCATCGAAGGCCGTTAGAGAATTTAGAGAAGTATTGCTAAAATTAAAATGTACTCATTTGTAACCATTGGGACCTACTCATAAATCACAGTTTAACATGAACAGTTTGGTACATTAGCATTCAAAGTATTAAAGTATGTGGTAATTCATGTATGTGGTAATTCACAGGATAGAAACTTGTATTTATTTTTAAAAGTGTTTTTAATGTAACCAAGGGTTGGTGGACTGGGTTGGATTGGGGATCAAAGTTGCTACTTTTGTTGTATTTTCAGTTGGATTGGTTCACTTTCACACTGCATCGTGTCAAACTATTGAAACCTTTAGTAAAACCTGTTCACTCCCTCGCTTTTGGTGGCAACAGAGCAGTTCACTGGAGAAAACGACACAAAAACCTCCACAGAAGTCGCATGTCTTCTTCGCAAATTGTAAACAAAAATGGAGTAGCGTCAGATTTTAGCAGATGTAGAATTTCTCTTTGGTGAAAGATCGCAAACCATGATCAATCTAGAATTTGATTAAAGCAGCTGGTGTGAACACACCAGTAGGTTTAATTTAACTATGCCTAAGATGGGTTGCACCATTGAATCGGCTGACCAATATTTTGGAAGATCAGCAATTGGCCAATACTTGAATTAAAGACCAATCTCATCTACCGCCGCAAAGGTCTGAAAATCAGCCACTGACCCGTCCTCCAAATCACATCTGCCCATGTACGGTTAGCACCAGTCAGTACACTTTTGCCAACTTAGCGACTGTATTACAATTTGTAGGGACTTTTCAGAAAACAAGATGAGGATTTTTAAAAATCGATCATCAGTTGGGAAACTGCAATCAGTGCAACCTGAGAGTATGATTGAGATTAATTTTTTTTCTATTCAAGTTAGAAATGCAAGGATTTTACAGAAATGTCCATGTGTGGTTGCAAAACCTGCAAAGGATTGCATCATTTATGAGGTAATAGCCATACCCTGTGGGCTGTCAGTACATGAAGTTGTACTTTCAGTTCCTCCTGGATGGACACTTTTGCTGATGAGACACATTTCTGTGTAGAACATCTTCTCTGGAAGTGCATCAGTCCTGAACAGAGCTTCTCCTTTTTCTTCGCACCGCAGGACCGGAACACGGAGGCCGGATTCCTCAGCCTGCCTCTATCGATGCGTCGGGGTTCTTCGGACAACAACCTGGATCTGGACCTCATCGACGGGAGCCCCCGCCAGAGTCTCGTCTCGGAGGTCCACCGGAGTCGCTCCTGCCTGGACAACCTCCAGCAGAAGATCCTGAAAGTCACGGAGCAGCTGAAGATCGAGCAGGCTGCCAGAGACGAGAACGTAGCGGAGTATCTAAAGCTGGTGAACAGCGTGGACAAGCAGCAGCTGGGGCGCATCAAGCAAGTGTTCGAGAAGAAGAACAACAAGTCGTCACAGAACATTGCGCAGATGCAGAAGAAGCTGGAGCAGTATCATCGAAAGATGAAGGACAGGGAGATTCTTCAAAGCCCGCCGCCCCGGCCGCCCTCGGCCAAACGCAGCACCATACCTAGGGAGTCTCCCCGACAGCTGAGGGACATGACCGGCAGCGGGCGCCACCCGACCATGGACAAGATCAAAACTATCGGGCCCGGCGTTTCTCTCTCCCCTCCTTTCTTCTTCAACAAGCCCAGGGAGTTTGCCAACCTCATCCGGAACAAGTTTGGCAGCGCGGATAATATTGCTCAGCTCAAAAGCAACCTGGACGCGTCGTCCGACGGCGCAGGGAAGGGGCTGAGCAGCAGCACGTCTTTGGTGAGCAAGGCCAAGTATCCCAGCGACGACGAATGCTCCTCAATTTCAGCAGACAGCAATGGGAACCTCGGTGTGGGTGGAGCCGTGGTGGGGCAGGGGCAGCAGCCTGGGGGAGACTGCCAGGGCAGGTTGGAGCTGTGCTACGAAGAGGTGAGAGAGATAAGAGAGGTCCAGAACCAGCTGGAGGAAGAGATGGACGAGATGAAAGAGCAGTTCAAGAGGGAGTATGGTATTCTGAACCAAACACTACAAGAGGAGAGGTTCAGGTGAGTTGTTTACCGCTTCCTGATCACAAAGTTCAGCAACAGACCTGATTTGATCCAGAGTTTAAACAACCTCCAAAAAACTCAACCCAAGTTTTTTGGGGTAAATGTGAAAAAGCACAGACAGTTTCTTTATAAAGTGGAGAATTTTGTATGAACATGGAATCTGATTTAATTTAAAGTTTCCTCCAGATTTGAAGATGATGAAATTAGAGACATATCCCATCATTTCGGATTCATCCAATATTCATTCCATCTTTGTGTGTGTCATATCTGTGCTCTATATTTGAGGGCCAGTCATTGTAGAAGAAACTGATATTAATTCTTTCAAAATTGGGAACTTGAGCACTTGGAGGGTTTTAAAATGAGGAATTGTAAACTCTTTCCAAGCATGTTTCTTTATGTAGAAACAAAAATAGTTTCTTCAGTCCATATTTCTGCGTTCTGATTAGCAGGTATGAGCATCTGGAGGATCAGCTGAACGACCTGACAGAACTTCATCAAAACGAGATGGCAAATCTGAAGCAGGAGCTGGCCAGCATAGAGGAGCGGGTGGCCTACCAGGCCCAGGAAAGAGCCCGGGACATACAGGTTCGTACAGGTCAAACACATTTTCATGATGCTCAAGTCTAAGCAGGAACCTGCAAAAAGTAGTTAGTTATTGAGGTTGATGTGAAACCTCAAGAAGAGTTTCGCATCATGTTCATCTTTTTTTCAAGTTAGAAGTTAGACTGAAAAACTTTTACCTCAAACTTTCAAAAAAAAAAAAAAACTTGACTTCTTCATTTGCTGATACTCATTTTTTCAAATCACTCTCTCAGGCGGTGTTTTAAAAAAATGTAGGCTGTTTAGAATCCTAACTTTATACCCAAATCAGTTTGGTAAGATCCAAATTAACCAAGTTAGGCGTTAAAAGATCCACAACTTTTATCGTTGCTTTCTGACATTAGTTACAACGGTTTTGTAGTTCCCACTCTACAATAATAATAGGTGTCTGTTAGTAACATTTAATTTGTTTGAACGATTTTCATGCTTATTGAATCATACTTTTAAGAACCTTTTGTTCTGCTGCTGCACAATCTCTGAAGAAATACTCTAAAAGATACAATAGACCTGTGATACATTGTTATTTTCTGTCAGCTGAGCTTGACTGAGATGCTACATTTCAAACATTTGTTGCCAGATATTCTTCTGACGTCATAGTTTTTTGGTTTTTTTTAAATAACGTCATTTGATGATTTGGACGCCACCCAAAGCAACCGCAGCAAACTGAGAAGAACTTTTGACTGATAGCCTCTCCCCCTGCGTGTCTCAGGAAGCCCTGGAGTCGTGTCAGACTCGCGTCTCCAAGCTGGAGCTCCAGCAGCAGCACCAGCAGCAAACGGTGCAGCTCGAGAGCCCAGATGCTCGGGTCTTACTGGGGAAGAGCATCAACATCATGCTGGCCATCATCACCGTCATCCTGGTGTGCGTCTCCACCGCTGCCAAGTTCGCCGCTCCGCTGATGAAGAGCCGGTATCACATGGCTGTGACGCTGCTGGCCGTGTGCTTTCTGACCGTGTTCTGGAGGAACTGGGACCGTTTACAGTATACCATAGACAGACTGCTGATGCCCAATTAAACACGAGAAGATCACTCTGAAACTATGATTGACTTAATCACCTTTAGTTGCAATAGGCGTCTAAGAAGATTGGTTGTACAATCTTTAAAAGGCGCGATCGCCGTCATCTTTAGAGGTTTGCGTTTTTAAAGACAGATTTAAATTGAATTTCTTTATTTTGTTTGTTTGAATGGAATTTGAATGTGTTTAACTCTTCTAAACTATAAAAAAAAGACTATTTTTATGTTCCAGTCAATTTTGCTACTTTCTCATTGAAATTTTCACAAAATATTTTAGGTCAAAGCCAGAATTAAACAAAGTGAGAAAGTTTGTTTACTGAAGAAATGCAGCCCATTCCGTCCCATTTTGTTGCAGTCGGATTATGACGCAACATGATTGGAAACACACTCAGGTCCAAGACGTTACTAATACTAATAGTCACTTTTTGGTCTAAAAGAGTGGTTGGGCACCTTAAAATACTCTTCCTTTGTTTTTGGTAAAATACTCTTCCCTTGTTTTTGGTAAGTTCTTAGCTTAGCATTGAGTCACCAGCAAATTGCTAAGCTAAGAATCCTTCTCAAACTCACAAACTAGATTCTGCCCCAAATTCCAAACTAGAACCAAAGACAGACCTCTATTTTTAGAGGTCTGTTTTGAAAATACTTTAAAAACAGAAAGTTTTGAAAGTATTTCAAAATGCTTTGAAATAAAAGTAAAGCAAAAATACACCCTTTTGCTTTCTCTCAACTGTGGACACACTGCTAGCAGCAAATAAGACTAATTTTGCATCACATTAGTCGCAGTTTAATTTTGATCACGTCAAATTAAGACAAAAGAAATAAAAAAGCTCCCTAAAATATACAAACTACAACAACTTCTAAATTCTGTTGGGTTTGGTTTCCAGTCATTTCTAATATTCACTTACCTCTAATTATCTGTGCAGGTCAGCAGTTTGCTGAGTTTAGCAATGAATAAGCAACAAATTGCTAAATTAAGCTTCAAATTTGACTGTTACATGGAAGGTGAACAGTGCCAGTCCAGAAACTTTTATTTAAAAATTTATTTTAAATATTTGCTAGATAAGCAGACTTATGTCTTTGAAAATTTTTAAATAAGCTGTTTAGAGGAGGAAGAGATCATTTGTAATTTATTTTTTTTATCTAAAAACGAAATTGAAAACTTGAACAAACACCTACCTGCATCTCTCTAAATGTAGCTTAGCATCAAATCTGAAACACATCGCTGAACTAGCTAAGCTAAACAAACACATTGAGATCCTCAAATGAGCTGTTCAAATTCGGCAAGCCAACATCAAAATCTATTGCTTGCCAACACGTTTAAAATACACTTACTTGCTCGTTAGCTTGTGCTAATAGCTGTTTGGCTCACTTCTGCCAACAAAACGCCATCAAATTGCTAAGCTAGCCTCGTTTGAAAGACTCAAAAGACATGTTCTCCCAAAAATATGCAAAGAAGAAACAGAGGCTCTCAATTTTGAAGTTTGATTTGCAGATTTTGTTGCGTTTGGACAGAACTGCAGCAGCGTGCTTTTCACCGTGTGTGTGAGCTACGCTATCAGACTGCTGCGTTCCCAAATATCAAACTATTCTACTTAAGGGAGAACCTGCAGACTAAAGCAAGTGTGTCTGGGAATCAATCTTAGTCTCTGTTACCGATTGCATTGTGTTCATCTGCCTCATTTAACTGTTGCAGTTTAATGTGCAATATATTTGATTTCTTGGAGCACTCTTTTCTTTTTTTAAAATAATTCTTAAAGGAGTGAGCGTTTTACATTACTGATCAACAGCAGTGACAGGGGCTTATTGCTGAAGAAAGTTGTCACCAATGCTGACATGAGAGATCCATAAACATCTAACCCGCTGCTGGACTCTGATAAAACCAGCTGCCTCCTCTCTTAAAGGCCAAAAATCAATGGAGCTGCATTATCTTGCTGGTGGCCTGGTAACAACAACACCGCAGCACTCCAGTGGAGCCACAGACGCACACAAATGCACAAAAAGGCACAAACCCCCATCATGTTGCTTGGTTTTCTTATAAAAGTCTTAAGGGCTTACCCAGTTTCATTACTCTGTTTTCTTATAATGTGACGTGGAGCGTGTGGATCATACTGTGAGATAGGGCTTTTTTTTCCTTACAACTAAGGGCAGCTCTTTTTAACAAACTGCCTTGAGTTTCAGAGGAAAACGTCCCTGTGTTTTGTGATTAACTACAAGCCAATTATTTTTTGGAATCACTAATGTAATATGTTATGTTTATCTAATGAGCATCGTCTAGAAGGACAGCACGTCAATGTATAAGGACCACTGATGATGTTTCTAAATCCGTAGTAGCACAGTTTTTGTCACGGCTTGTTGCACCTTTTTTCTTTTTATGGATTAAATTTGTTTTTGTTTTTTTTGACACATTTGAGGAAGATTCTCCATGCACAACCATGATCTCGTTTACATTCTGTATTTTTCTCTGGTGCACTGTGGTCAATCAGTTGTATGTTTATGCATTCTGTGCCTTTGTCTGATCATTTCTGTTAAATTAAACCTTTTTAATCAACATGTTACACAGGTTTAAAACTGCTGTGCGAAACCTGTTTTTATTTTTTTTTTTAACTCTGCAGTCTTGCACGATTGGGGTTCTTTTACTAGTATTCTAATAGTTTTGCAGTCAGAAAATGCCACCTGACAATTAGGCTTTATATGTCTTTGTCGTTCTAAAGAGGGAAGTGGAGGGAAAGCTCCAAATTTGCATAGTCTGTTTCAGAAAAGGATCTATTTATATAGTCGAAGGGGACGTTGAGAATTTTCTGCATCGATTAACTTACAGGTTTTGTCTTTTCAGCCTGTATTTCCCCGGGTTTTTATTGCAGCAGGAGTCTGATATTACTGCAACCACACTGAAGTTGTTCAGCTTGCTTTACAACCACCCTGCATTAGCAAGCACTTTTTTTTTTTGCATATTTGTTTTTATTGTGTTTTTGAAAGACCAAGTGAGCCATTAGATAATCCAAAGGTAAGTGGTGGGAGAAAAAGACTGATGGAAGGTGCAGGTAAAAAAAAAAAAGTAGATATTCAAAACATTCTGGGGATGTTTTGAAGGTTCCTTAAAATCACAAAACTGAGGCAAATGTTTTCTCCCACTTTCATAATATAGTGCTTGCATCATTTTTACAAGAAGTTCACATCGGACATGAAAGCTTTCTGGACAAATGAAAAGAAAACCCTTGTGTTCATTACACTTGTTCATTTTAAGGGTGAAAAATATGAGTTATGATACTGACAGGAAGATTTTGAATTTGAAAAAACAATCCCTAAAATTTTAAGAAATCGGTTCTTTAGCTTCCTTGACTGCAGCTAAAGAATCTTACAACGAACAACAGCAGTTGATGATGTGCAAAATCTCAAATGCAAGTAGGTACTTAACATTTGAAAGATCAATGCTAAATGTTAGGTTCCTGGTACTGTGTCATTTTACAACCACCCCGTCTTTCTCAGATGGATAAAGAAACTGAACAAGTAAATAATACAAATTCTGAGCTCGCAGTTATAGTATAGGAATACTTGCAATTTCCTGATACGACCACTGGGGGGCGTAGATGTTTCACAGTTGATCTGGCTGGGCTCAGAACAGCTGCAGAATACTGACTTCATCCTACCATGCTTTCCTTTTTCTTTTTCATATGACAAATTGATTTTCCTTTGCAGGAGTCTGTGCTTTATGCATACATATCTATAAAAGAAAGCATTACAACCAAGGAGAATTCCTGCAGTAGGAATTTAGTCTTCCTGTTGTCGAGCATAAAAATCTGGCTACATTTTTCCTATGCGATCCATTAATGTCAAGTCTGAGAGTCGGTGTTAAAGGTTTTGCTGACAGCTGTGATCAAGAATGCTTTCCGTAGCATGATGAATGTGTGATGATGCAGCGGGTTGACTTAGCTTCCCGTAGGGCAGACGATTAGGGACGCATTCGGTTCCAATTAAATCAACTTTAAGCACCGAGTTTAGCGTCGCCGAACGGCCGGTGTGGTCACCAGCGTCACAGTTATGGCTCAGATAAATGGGAAATGCAAACACCGGCTGTATTTCCAGACCACTGTGGTGGAGACTTTGGAAGCCAGAGAGAAACACTAAGCAACTCTGGACTTTCCTGTGCTGCTGACTGAGATCTAAAAATAAAGCTGACTTGCTCTGATAAAGCGTACTTAAGGACGTATCACAATGGCTCCGTCCTGTAATCTCTGCTGCCTCTGAAAATTGATGAGGTGATAAAACAATGGGCCCTCTTCCCATAGTAACTGCTGCTGTTATAGCTGCTGTAGGTGCACTGTTCCCTGCACTATATATATATATATATATATATATATATATATATATATATATATATAAACTATGAATTCCATTCATTTTCTACTTACTGTTTATTCTTATGTGCCAAAAACTAATGCATCAATTTTGTTCTGATTAAGCAGAAAATTCTCAGCTACCCAAGATTTAATATCTAAAATGTTGTTAAAAATGGCATAATTTGGACTTGGGTCGTTGGGAAACATGATCCGGTTACATCTGATCAATTGCTTGTTATCATTCTGACAGCTGGAGGCGGGCCTCCCTGGTACTATGGAGGCGCACTTAAGGAAGCAGTCGGTGAACGTGAACTTGTGCGTCATTGGTGTAAAGAAAAGGAAACCTTGAGGTACACCATAGTTCCAGCTATAACTGATAAACAATTCCCTACATTTACAAGTAATTTTCCATCAGCGAGTTATGACTTGAGCCAGGTGTTTGGATCCGTTTGAGCCTACCTGATAGAACGATGGTGTCTACGGCACTAGAGTCCGTGTTTAGGTCTGCTAATGCCAGTCGTGAGAGTTTGTTCAGGTCCATGTGCTAAATTGCAATGGGAACTCTCTAGCTTTGCATTGGGCTCATGTTTGATCTCAAATGTAGTTGTAAACGGGGAGAAGCATGCGAGTCTTTGTGTGCCTCTGAGTGGGAGAAGCAGCAATGTTTCATACATTTTTGCAGCACCCAAACTCTGATCCTAACACACACAGAGGCTTAAAAACGGGGATTATGAGCTGTATTTGTAGGTGTGAATGCAGAGCAATATTTCCTTTCAGGTCTCTCATCTCTTTATCTTGCGGCCAAGCGCTTCCCTTTGATCTCAGCTTCAATTTGGCGTGTTTCATTGTGCGGTCCTATGTGGCTCCTGGAGCCCGCTGGCCCATTCACGGAGCTCCATAATAGGCTTCTAATTATCCCAGGACCTCATCAAGTTTTTTTAAGGAAGGGTAGGGGGGCGGGGGGGGGGGGGGCACAGTCAAAGCCTCCTCCTTGTGTGGGTTGGCATGGCGACTGCAGAAGGGGGATGCAGTCCTTGGTGAAGGAGGCCACCAAAAGGACCGCCATACTTGTTTTCTCTCAGAACAGAAGAAGGGAAATGAAATGTGTTATCCATGTTGATTGGGGGGGGGGGATATAAGCGCCGTGCCATAAATATTCACCCACATTAGAGTTTTTAATGCTTTATTGCTTTGCTTACACAAGTTTAGATGTCTCCTTTTTTTTTTTTGACTGGAATTAATATAGTCTCCCATAAAACATTTGAGACAAAATCAAAAGCAATTTGGGAAATGAATTTCCAAATTCAAATCCAAAATGAGTGAAATGCACAGTGCCGTCTTTATATCTCTTGCATGGCACTGCATACATAACTCAGCTTAAGTGCACAAAAGTGCAGCTCTGGAAAAAAACAAAACAAGCAATGAAGAGCCCACTGCAAATTGATCAGTTCTCTGATTTTACTCATTAGAGGTTTATGTTTGAGAAGAATGAACATTGTTGTTTTATTCTATGGACAACGCGTCTCCAAAGGAAACGAGTTCATGTCCGTTTAGAAACAAGGACGCCTCATGTTTGAGCTCAGGAGGAGTTCAGAAACCAATATCTGGCGGAATAACCAGGAGGTTTTGAGTGGAGAGGTCTCTTCATTCCCCTCCAGAGCTTTGAGTTTTAATTTGTGGGTCAACCATGAATGAACTCGGGATTATGGGAAAGTTCTGACCTCTTTAGCAGCAGCTCCACGCGGGCCTCGTCTGGTCGCGCGGCGCCCTTCCCACTTCCTGTTTGCGGTGTCATGGAGATGGTCCGCTTCCACGCGAGAGCCACAAAAACACCACGAGCGGCTCGGTGACGCTGCAGAGTCAAAGCGCGAAGAGATATAAATAGGTGGTGAAAAATTGGGGAGTTTTTTTTTTTATGGATACATTTGTCATTAAAAGCTCTGTGTAAAAAAATAATAATAATAATAAAAAAAATCACGTCCTCGCAGTGCCCTGATTCAGACACCTCCGATTTCTTTTTTTTTTTTTTAGTTGCTAGGCAACCACGGAGCGCCACGGCAACGCTGGAAGTTAAAGGCTGACAAGTCAGCGGGGTGAAAAACAAAACAAACAAGAAGAAGAAGAAGAAGAAGTAGAAGAAGAGTGGATTGTTGGTCGAATCACTATGTTTTATAGCCAGCTGACAGTGACAACGATACACTGTCACCGCTGAGTAACTATCCGGCGCTGCTGAATGTCTTCCACTGCAATTTGACCACTACCGAAGAAGAAGAAGAAGTAGGTGACTTTGCGTTGAAAACTGAAAACTCACAGTTTTTTGTGAAATTCAGAAAAAGAGTCGAAAATAATTGCGCCAGATTTTGAGTTACCAGTTGTAACTAGTGAAATAAAAACTTAACCTTCTGGTAAACATTTAATTGAATTAAATAAATAAATAAATAAATAAATAAATAAATAAATAAATAAATAAATAAATAAATAAGGATTTTGAACAAAACACGACTTTGAAAGTCGTGTTTCAAAGTCGTGAGAAAAATGACTGTTTTCAAGTTGATGCAGAACATTTTTATTTTTTTATTTTCCCTCTGTTTTGGATTATATGAGGCAGAGCAACACAAAGTAGTGCATCAAAATGAAAGAAAAGTGCAAACTTTGCTACTGCGATCCCTTTCGGTGTGACTCTGCAAAACAAAGTCCAGTGCAACTCAGTGCGTGGCATCTTATTTCTGTGAAGGCCTCTGAGGTTCTGCTGTGGCGTCGCAAAAGGGCTGAGGTAGGGGAGAAGTTTAAAGTGAGATTTGGTTTTTAACTAAGCAACATCACTGTTCCATACGTTGTCTAAAATGGACAAAGTACGGCGTAACTACAAACCTACCAGGACCTGGATGGATGCCCACCTTTCTTTCTGTTCGCGGTGCACATTCACATGAGCGAAAGCACATTCATGGCGACACAAATGGACCCAGAACAACATCTGAAGCGCCTCGACTCCTCACTTGCCTAAGGTACGTTTAGTCTTCATAATTCAAAAATAACAAGATGGCACATATGGGAGAGTTGCAAGACCAAAATCAGTCGTGACCATAAATAAATCAACCAGCCCAGATTCACAAAAAAACAAAAAGAAATTTGATGATCCTCAAAACTCTTGGGAAAATGTTCTGTGTTCTGGTGAAACGGAGTGGAACTTTGGGATGATGTGCATGCCTTAACATTTGGAGAAAAACATTTGAAAAGAGAGTCCTACCATGAGTCCATGGCCTAGTCAAAGCTTGCAGTCGAATCGGGCAATTTTTGAAACATAAAAAGAAATGCAAAAAAAGCAATCTGTAGATTGTAAGGAGGCAATGCTTTTTCACAAATGTTGAATATAATTTGTTGTCTAATCAGGACTAGTGACCGGCCGCAGCACGAGGAGAGTGGACAGATTCGTCTCATGCGATCTCACGCCTTATGGAAGTACTCTTTGTTACAGAACAAATGGCGCCTTTCAAACGCTACCTCACTACAGGATGATCAGGATTTATCCAAATACGCACCGATATAATGCACCTGACCATTTACTCATTTACTCATTTACCGATTCTATTTACTCAGCTTGTTTATGTTAAAGTACAAATAAGAATAAGGTCAATTTTTTCCTATTATTGCCACAGTTACGTTGAAACATGTCAAATGAATCAGTAAAAGCAAAAATGCAAACAAAACCAGTTTGAGGAATATACATGTAAAATGCTAGATCAAATTGCAAACACACACACACACACACATACCCCCCCCCACACACACACACACACACATATATATAAAAGTTTGATGGTTTCTGCATCCCCTCTTTGTCTTCTGTTCTGCAAATAGACTGCTGCCACTTCACAGTGACACTTGTGGATTGAAGCCAGACATTGTCAGCTCATTATCGACACCCTGTCATGTGTTGTCAGCTAGTTCTCTGCCTTCTTCTCTCTCTCTCTGTCTGTCTGTTTGTGTGTGTGTGCGTGTGTGTGTGTGTGTGTGTGTGTGTGTGTGTGTGTGTGTGTGTGTGTGTGTGTGTGTGTGTGTGTGTGTGTGTGTGTGTGTGTGTGTGTGTGGTTGAACGAAGTGTGGGAGGAATTTGAACTGAAAGATGTCTCCCTGCTCTGGCTCCTCGTCTGGGGATTATAACTGCGGGAGCTGCGCTGCGGGCGGCCATGCAGAAGTCAATACAGTGCTGTGGTGATGCAGTCACACCCATTAATCTTTGTCACACTTTCATCAGATATGAGCCACAGACTTTGAGGTAATATCGGGGGGGTTTTGCGGAAAAATAACTCCAAGCGCTGCATACAAGGGAAGAGGCTTTTAGTTGTTTTTTTATGAATAAAAATTCTGAATAGTGTGGTGTGCTCTTATTTTTTTACTTCCATCAGTCAGTATTTCCATCTGCCCTGACTCAAAGTCTTACATTTGAGTCTTAGATGACCAGAGGTGTCTTTACTACATGGAACTTGTTTTGACACATACAGTGGGTCAAATAAATATCGAGCACATCACAGGTTTTCTTAGTAAACATACTATAAAAGTGCTATTGAAGTTTTCAACCCAAACAATCCGTACTTAGAGAGAAACCAAAACAAATAAGTTCAGAAATGAAGTTATGTGTAATGAGGTGAAATAACGGAGAGAGGAAAGTGTAGAAATAGGAGGCTGAAAAAGACACGAGAAGCCAAGAGGCCAGCTGAAATCTATCAGTGATCAGAAAGCCGTCCTAACCCTGGGCAGCACGAATGAACGTCATCTGGTTCGGTCCAAACAAAACCAGATGCACCCGAGTCGTCCCTGAGCCATCACGGACCGCTGTCACGAGGCTCACGAACGAAGTGAGTCAGGATTCGGTTTCCACTCTCCTCAGCTGTGGAGTCCCTGACAAAACTGTGCAGAAACTGAACACGTTTCTATCTACCGCAGCTTTGCTGTGAGGCTCAAAGATAATCGCATCTGGTCATTTCAGCTGTTCCTGCATTATATTTGATGTGCTTCAAGGTTTTTGATTGCTTCAGTTGACCCCGTTTTTGGGCTTAAATGCCCTTCAATCTCTATACAGATTTTTTCCTTTTTTTGTGCCAATATTAAAATCTTTGTATATTTTTGGACTGCTGGTTATGTCTATTTCCTACATGGATTGTCACCGATTCTATTTTGATGTATTTATTTTTCTCCAAGATGCTTTGATGCGTGACACAGTTTGCTGTCTCAGAAAAGAAAAGAAAAGAAAAAAAGAAGATAAAACGTCAACAAGGGCACGATTTCAAGTCATGGTAAAATGTTTGTAGCAAACGTTGTTTGTGTTTTTCTTTTTTTATTAGAACAAGCTTTATTCATCTGTTGTTGTTGGGTTTTTTTTTCTTCTTGTCCTTTCCTGCAAAACATCCTTGCTGCTCACAGCAGGGGGGGAATGAGCCCTCGCTGAGCGCCTCTGTCTCTATTTCCGTCTCAGAAACTTCTGCTTCCCTCCTCGACGCTTCCTCTCTCAGACGTCAGCAGGTTGTGGGGAGACCAAACACGCGTGTTCGTGTCTCGTTTTGGTGTCAGTGTGCCTGCTGAGCGCTTCCTGCTCCCTGACAGCGCTTTGATAGGAATATCCTCCTACAGGGACGGACAAAAGTTGAGTCTGGCCTTCTCTCTCTCTCTCCGTCTCTCTCTCTTGTCTCCATGCTGACAACATCCTCGGAGTTTCCTGACACGCCTCACATTTCTGGCTCCTCACCGTTGCCCCACCGACAGCCGGGAGACAGAAGTGAGGGATAGGCAGTGGGCGCAGAGTTCGCCGGCGACGAAACTCGGTTGGGGGGGTTGGTGTCGTGTTTTGTCGCGTGGCGTTTGAAAGCAGCAGACAAGTGAGACGCGCTCAGCGTGCAGAAAGGGAGGAAATGAACAATGCAAGGGGGAAGTGATCAGTAATCTGCAAAAGCTCGCTGTCGGCCTCTGCTGCGAACAGCCCGTCTGGATCTCATTATGGGTAAATTAATTTGGCACAGAGCCTCCGACCCAAACGTTCATGAGCAAATTGAGGAAGTGAGTGTGCCTCTGTGTGATTACGGGAGCAGTGAAAAACAGTGAGAGGTAAGATTTGGCACATGGTTTTTTTTCTTTCTTTTTGTCCTGTGATTTCCCTGAGTGGCACTGAAAACCCAGTTTGCTCTATTACATCTCTCTGCACTCATTACGAGACTTCTTCAAATCTCCCATGTGGCTCGGCTGCGACTAGAAAAGCAAATTCCTGCTCAAACACTGCTGCAGTGTTGCAACCGATGCCTTTTTGCCGCTCTTGTGTTCTGTCAGGCCGCTTAATTGTCGCAGGCAGAAATGAGAGCGGAGCGCAGAAGAAGTGCATGTTTTGTTTTATTCCTTTGGTGAGACGTTTGAGCGAACGCTTGTAGGTAAAACAATAAATATCTCAATCTGGTTATTAACAGCTATGCTTTGTCTGCTTTTCCTCCCCCCCCACCCCATTATTGATGTGCAACCAAAAATAAACAATGATTTCTCAGAAAACAGACAGAACTGCGACAATTGGGCTGACATGCTGGCACCATGCGCTGTGTTCTGCTTCCAGCTCATCAGAACCGAGCCAGATCCGACTGAACAGCGGCCAGATTTCGCCTGGATTAACATTTGTGAATCTGACGGACACCAGCATAAGAACCAAGAAACGCTCACAGCAACATTTGGCTTCCAAATGCCGACATGCCGCTGAGCGAGGGCACTTATAAAACCCAAAGTCGCCAAACATTCTGCATGTTGTTGGACAAGTGTGCACACACATTTGTTAATTGTGATATTGGAGTTAGATTGGTTCATCTTCACTCGGACTAGACGGCTTGTGTTGCTGATCAATGGAGTCTTAATTTCTGATACTTTGACTAGTCTCCTTCATAATGCCAGTCATTCTCAAGTTAAGCGTTAACATATCCAGTGTGCGTCGTCCCTTTTACCAGCTACACTCATCCTTGGTGCTCCACGGTCTCTGTAACAGTTTGACGTCCGTAACCGGGTCTGGTCCTGTATCAGCGGAGGCCTAAAGACGGATGAATAACGAATAAATCATCTTTAGAGGCAAGATTTGTTTTTGAGGCAGGGTTTGCATAAGAGCAGAAAACGAAACAAAGACTAAAGGTGTGTAGGCATGAAGAGAGACGCAGCACAACAAAGACGAAAAATGTGAGAAAAAAATGAAGGGAACACGGGAGACACGGAAGGAGGTAATAAGTCACAGCAGACAGATGTGAAAGCAACTAAACTGTATCAGAGTGTGCAGTGAGCATGAAGCTAAACCAACTGGGAAGAACAGACACTCAAAATCATACAAGGAAGCAAAACATTAGCACAAGAGCAAGGGACTGTGAAGCCACAACACGTTTAACAAAACTATGCATAGAGCTGTTCATCCACGATGTTGTTATGCATCAACAGAAAACTACAAAGGCTAAAGAAGAAGAAAAGCACCAGACTGTGGCACAGATAGTTGAAACCACAATGCTAAACAGTGATTTGGCAGATGAGAGCTCCCACGGTGCCGATTTGAAACCATTTCATCTGTTGGACCCCGTAAACCAGTGCTGTCCAGACTTTTCTCCATTTGGACCGAGATCACACACACCAAGTACATTTAGCCAAGTTTAGTAAATGGAGATGTCCATATTTGTGGTCATACGTATTCCAACAGTAAAATCAATAAAGACATAACCTTGAATTGAGTGTACATCTGTAACCTGGATCCTCACCAATGCACCTACGTCGAACCCGGGATTGAACCCGTTCCAGGCCCTGCAGTGCAAAAAGACCGAAACAGACAATCTGGTGAAGCAAAGAGAAAGTAAACCAGAGCGAGGAACTGGCCTGTGATTGACAGATGTGTCACCTGAAAAGTTTCAAATACTTGCAGTACCTCACTCTGCATGAATGTAACCACAGCAACATAGTGTCTTATTCTTCATTGTCTACCTTTGAAATGCTGCCTCGCCTTTTGTGACAGCACTACAAGTTCACATCACTGATACATGCAGAGCTTTACCTGTAAACCCACTAGAACAACGGTTCCCGACCGAGTCCAACATGTTTTAGATGCGTCTCCGTTTTAGCACTCCTCATTCAAATGACTGCGCAACCTGTTCAAGGATTCAGGGATTTTTTTATTGGCGTACAACCTTGATAATCTGCGGTACGAAATTTGTGCTCAGGTCCCAGATCAAGAAATCCACCACAGACACACACAAATTGATGAGTAAATCAAACAAATAAATGAACTAATGAACAATAAAGTAATTTAAGTGATGTATATATGGTGAAGTGTATGTGTGTAAATAATCTATGAGATGAAGCTCCGAGTTCAGGAGTCTGATGGCTGAAGGGAAGAAACTGTTCCTCTGCCTGGTGTGGCAAGTAAAGAGGCACCTAAAACATACAGGCCTGGCGGTGGGGGCTTGAGAACCAAGGCCGGGAACCGCTGGTCTAAAAGACTCTTGAATTGACTTGCAGAAATGAGTGTTCATGGAAAAGAGGGCTGGGATCAACAGAGTTCAGGCATCATTCAGCTTTAGTTCGCAGACGTTCATGGGAAATGTTAAATGAGTCTGCATTATGTGGATTAGTTAAGGAGGATCTCCTTTTTTTTTTTTTTTAAACAACCACGGATAAGCAAGAAAAGCCATTAAGCATATTAATCCAAAACGACCAGGCACACAAGGACAGAGCAGATCCTCATCCAACCTCACCTTCCCCACAGCAGGCACTTGGATTTTATATATATATATATATATATATATATATATATATATATATATATATATATATATATATATATATATATGTATATATATATATATATATATATATATATATATATATATATATATATATATATATATATACATATATATATATATATATATATATATATATATAATATATATATATATATATATATATATATATTTTTTTTTTTTTTTACCCTAAACAAGAAGGAACTGATTTTACAAATGACGCTGAGCTCTGAGTGATTTATGCCAGTCCAGTCTCATCTGATCCTGATGAATGGAAACCATTAACAGGACTCGTCTTGATTTACGAGCCCTATCCCAGCGCTGAGATGAATGGGTGAAAGTGAGCTGGGTGAGCATGTGGTGAGCATTCATAAAGATGTAGGAGTGGGGCGAAGCACACGGGAGCAAATAGCACATGAAAGGAAGAGGGATGAAGTAGAAAGACACAAACAACAACAACAACAACAAAAATGCTCATGTAGTAAAAAGCGAGTGCAGACAGGAAGAGAGAGAAAGAGAGGGGGAGAGAGGAGGGAGGGAGCTTGCAGTCTGGCAAAACAGCATCCTTCCCTCCTTCTCCGCTCCTCCCCTCGGTCCTCTCGGCATCTCTCCCACGCTCCAGCTCCCGCGGCTCCTCCCGGGGAACGCAAACGCCGCTCGGCTCGGTTTCTCCGCGCGAGCCAGCCGCTTGACCCGGTACTTTCCCGCGCGTTGGTCTACCTGCGGCAGCGGAGGTGGGCGCGCGCGGAGTCCTCTGACCCCTCCGACCGCCCACTCGCCTTCCCCAGAGGAGAGAGAGGAGAGAGGAGAGAGAGAGGAGATATGGATGGACTGCGCTTGCCTCCACTCATAGAAGAGGCTCTGGACTCCACAGGTCGGTGCCGCTGCTCGTTTAGTCGGCGCTTTGCTTTTCGCAGCTCGCCCTCTCTCGCGTAGGCTCGGGAGAAAGGAGAGGCGGGGGGCGGGAGGAAAGGTAGCGGCTCGCTGTTTGTCTCAGCCGAGGAAGTGTTTACAGCCACTACCGGGGTTGTTGAGAGGAGGTGGCCGCGCGCGCGAGGAGACAGGGAGATGATTGTTTTCATTATGAGTGGGCACCGTGGGGTCAGCTGTGGGCATATGCTCACTTTTGATGGAGACTGTGAGGTGAGACACGGCTGCCAGCCAACAGTGTAATGCAGGCCCGGCGTTGGCTCTGTTACATGAGTAGCATATGTTATTGTCAGGGTTGAGAATTGTATTTTCTCTCTCTTCTCTCTTTCTTCTGTCTCTCTCTCTCTCTCTCTCTCTCTCTCTCTCTCTCTCTCTCTCTCTCTCTCTCTCTCTCTCTCTCTCTCTTTCCTCTGCAAGGTCGTGCTGAACAGCTGCAGCTTTATTCCATGGAGCGTTGTTACATTAAGCACAGAGCATTCTTGTTTTCTAAATCTGTGATTTTTTTACTGAGAAAAATCTCTGGAATGTTTTCTGTGTGTGTGTGTGTGTGTGTGTGTGTGTCCAAACAAAGAGGAATCTTGTTTTGCATGTTTTGAATGCTTGTGCAGACAGGGCGGCCCTGTGAGGAACTCTGTTTTGAGGATGTTTATCAGTGTGCAGAGAAAGCCGGGTCCAGAGGCCTGCCGGTCCGCCTGCGTCCAGGCTTCCTGTCAAGCCCTGCCCTTAAACTGAACTTCGGCGGGCCGCCTTTGTGTGTGAACTGGATGAGGCGTAAGTCATGTGCGCACTGCCTCGAAAAGGGTTCCAACTTTTATCTGGACGTGGATTCCTTATTACGATTTGGTCTTAATTTTGACCGGACCGTTCTAAAGCATAGATTTGCTTGTTTTTTTTTTCACAACAAACTTCTGTTTCCCTGCTGAATGAACGCTTCTCCACAGCATGATGCAGCCACTACCAAGCTTTACCAGTTGGATGAAGTGTTCAGATTGATGTACTGCGCTATCTTAGTTTCAGATAGCGCAGTACATCATTATCTTAGTTTCAGATAATGAGTTAAAGGGTGCTTCTTTAGATGTTCCAAGCCCGACTCAATATTTTGTCACCTAAATGTTCTTTGCAGTGAACACTTTTTGTTCACAAGTGCTCTCCAACAAATCCTCTGAGGCCAGAATCAGTTGTATTGAGATTCATTTACACACAGAGGGTCACTGATAACCTGTCAACTTCTGAAAGCAACTGATTTCATTTAAGGGTGCTGGAGTAAAATGGTGCAGGATACAAATGGATGCTTGTTTTTTGTATTTTTATTTGTAAAACTATCTCAAACCACAAACTACTTTTTTAGAATTTTTTTTTAGTTACATTGCA